TTTTTTTTTTTTTTTTTTGTAATTGAATTTTTATACTTGAAGAGAGGGGAGGGGAGGGGGAATTCGTTCGATGGATTATGTCGAGATAGGAGATTGATATAAAAATAAAAAAAGAAAGAAAAAAAAATGAAATATCAAAGGCAGATTGGAAAGTTTGAAAATATTATTAAAAATGACTTTTTTGTCAGAGAGATTGTATTCAGAATACTTCCAACGGTGTTTCGTTAAATTTAAAAATAAATTTTCGATATTTCGTAAATAACTTTATTTTAATTCTTTTATGGTAATATATTTTAATATCAGTGTATAACATTTTATTTCTTAATCCTTTCGAGAAGGATTTCTCTTTTGGCAACGAATGGACTCGATAATTTTTACACGAAATAATCTCTCTTTGAACTCTATTCCTGTAATCGCATTACATATTCAAATTTTATTTTATATTAAACAGTCTATTTCTTAATCGTATATATATTTTAATTACATCTTATCCAATCTTTTTTATCGTAAAAGTTACATCGCAACATCCCATCAACAGGATTAAAATCACATCTCCGCGAAACCCAAAAAACATATTCAAATTTTATTTTGTATCGAACATCTATAATTCTACTAACAATAATTATCAATTATATAATTACAAAATTATCGCAAATTTCTTCTAATTTTATCCAATATTTTCAACGTTGCATCGAACCACATCCATCCCATCAATTTCGAAAGAATGAAATCACATTTTACGTAACGTCGAAATCGAAATATTTCACCTCTGCTAACTGAATAATCGTCAATAATTACAAATTATCAAATTTCTTCCAATTATATCCTTTTCGCCCATGAACGTTCGAATCACATTCATCCCATCCAGTTTCGAAAAGATTATCAAGTCACGTCTCGCGTGAAGTCGAGATCAACTCGAAACAGTGTATCTCCCGAAGAGAAAACCCGAGCACGCCCCCTCCCCCCCCTCCAAAAACCAGCGCCGGACACAAGCGTAATAGTTTCACGCGCGATTAATCGATAATGCGAGTCACAGCCAAAAATACCTGTACTTCCAAACCCACAACCGGCCCAATTCACGAAACATCTCGATAAATCCACGCTCTAATCCCGAAGGGGAGGGTCGCGTAATCCCGGCCCAACGTCGTTTCCAAGCTTTGTCGCGACTCGAAAAAACCTGGGCTGGGTTTTCGAGGGAGGAAGAGGGTGAAAGGAAGAGGGTGGAAGGAAGGGAAGAGGAATAAATCCGAGGGGGAAGGCATGGAAGGAAGAAAACACAGAGGAGGAGGAGGAGGAGGAGACGGTGGAGCGGCGCGGGTATCGATCAGGGTCAGCTTCGGAGAATTTCTCTTCGTCTGGGGTGTACCTTGTTCGATCGATATAGGCAGGACTTCCTTCGCTTTTGTCTCTTCTCGAAGGGGAAGGGGAGGGGAAGCCCAGAGGATCCGGCGTCAACGAGCTTAAAGAAGAAGGTTCCTCGAATCAATCGTCGAGGGATGGATTTTCTTTGAATGTTCTTCGGGGAAATCGAGTTTGTTGTGGTGGGTTGTCAAAAAGTTTTTTTTTTTTTTTTTTTTTTTTTGAGAAGAATTTGATTGGAATGAATTCGAATTCGTATAGTGAGATTGATTTCTTTGAGGGAGATTGAAATTAGGGTAGATTTTAAAGGTTTCAGGATATTTGTGAGTCGTTGGATCACTCGTGACGAAAGATTTATCGATTAATTTCTGGGAAGGGAAAGAATAATCGAATGTGGAATATAAAATATAAAATACAAAATTTCTTATTATTCAACGATACTTTCTCTGGTAGAAATCCAATGAAAATCACAGCGAGCCTAAACAAAGCATCAGCCTAAATAAAGTTATTCCATGAACGGGAATAACAGGGAAATATTTAACGATTCGAGGCGAAAGACGTTGAACAAAAATGATTTAAACCTCCTCGTTAATTTGCATTCTAATATTCGCGGGATGCGATTCACCTCGTTAGACTCGTGTTTCCTCCGCGGATGGAATAGCGGTTGAGACGTCGTCGGATCCCCTCGTCGTCTCCATTCTCTCCCCCTTTCTCTCCCGTGCTCCCTGGTGTACTCGCACACCACGGGTTAAACGATTACTCGGTTATTACTTTACTTAACCCTTCGTTACGGACCGGGCCACGGGGAAAAGCCACGTCGGTTTCAAAAGCAAACGAATTATTCTCTTTCCCTCGTCCCCCCCCCCCTCTACCCCGTCTTCCTACCCTCGTTTCAATCTAGTCGCAAGTCTAGAGGCCGCGATCCTCCATCTACGAATTTCACGATTAATTATCGTGAGAAACTCGTTCTCGATCTGTCGCGTATACATTATCGTATCTATAAATATTTATTTAAAAAATAATAATAAAATAAATATAATTATACGTTTGAAATAAGTGAATCAATTAAGCATTTAAAGGAAAATTACGAAAAGGCAAATTAATTGAATTTTTTGGGACCACGAAAATTTCTGAATTTTGAATTTTATAATTCTAACAATTTTAAACATAATGTTGATATTTCTATATTGACACTCTTTGTATTCTTGAAAATTTGTACTTTTGAAAATTTAGGCTCATAAGTTACCCCAAAAAACGCAATAATTCCGAAAATTATTCATTTTAAATCTAATAATATTCCCCATCGCATGAATTCTCATCTATAATTAGAAAAAAAAATACAATATTGACACTTTTACATTGACATTCTTCCTTTTGAAAATTTACGTTCATTAAGTTACCCCAAAAAGTGCAATAATATTAAAAATCAATTATTCTAAATTCAACGACCTCATTATACGAATTCTCATCTATCATATCAAAAAAAAAAAAAATATATATAATATTAACACTTTTACATTGGCACTCTTCCTTTTAAAAATTTATGCTCATTAATTTATATAAATTACATAAATTAATTAATAAAAAATAAATAAATAAATTAATTTATTAATTACATAAATTACCCCAAAAAGCGCAATAATCCTAAAAATTATTCTAAATCCAACGAATCCATCTCATCATACAAATTCTCATCTATCATACGAAAAAAGAAATATAATATTGACATTTTTATATTGATACTCTTCCTTTTATTAATTTATGTTCATTAAATTACCCTAAAAAGCGCAATAATCCTGAAAATCAATTATTCTAAACCCAACAACATCCCTCGCCGCATCTGCATACGAAAAAAAAACAATTCCACCCTTCCATGTAACCCCACGAGTAGCAAGAAAACAGGAAAGAGCCCGGAAAGTCAACTTTCCATATCGTCCGCGCGATGAAGATACTTATCCCGCGAACTGGGTCAATTAGAGGGGGGTGGCCCGCGAAAAAGCAGCCAGGGGCGACGGCCCCGCTTTTAGGACGGCCTCTGTTTAAAGGGAGAGAGAGAGAGAGAGAAATTGCTTTGGGAAACAGGGGAGATTGCTAGGGTGGACGACAGGAATGGGCTGTATTTTCACAACCGGATCTAAGGAAGTCTTGTGGAACACGAAGATAGGATCCATCTTCTTCCGGTGAAAGTGTCTCGTTGGCCGATTTGAAGGAAGATAAGTCGAAAAGGAACGAGTTTTGAGAAATAGAGAGAGAATAAATGAGTCAATGAAGAAGAAGAAAAAGAAATTTCGATTTTTATAAAAAAAAAAAAAATGTAAAAAAGAAAAAGGAAACGAAGGGGGTAGACACGTTGAAGCCGTATTTTGCATCTTTTTGGATTAAAGGAAGAGAAATAGCGAGAGAATAAATGAGTCAATGAAGAAGAAGAAAAAGAAATTTCGATTTTTATAAAAAAAAAAAAAATGTAAAAAAGAAAAAGGAAACGAAGGGGGTAGTCACGTTGAAGCCGTATTTTGCATCTTTTTGGATTAAAGGAAGAGAAATAGAGAGAGAAAGAGAGAGAGAGTGAATGAGTTGAACAAGAAATTGAAGCGAATTGGCGGGATATTTAGTCAGATGGATGGACTCTCTGGTTCTTGCTCCTTGTTTACCCGTTTCTAAAGCTCTCGAGATCAGAATCTTTGGGAAGCTTTAGAATAGCTTTAGCTACAGAGGAAGAACGTTAAATTCCAGTTCGTCGATTCGTAGTTTAGTATCGGTAGTCGATCTTTGATGAGAATGTTTAATTAAGTCGCGAACGTTTTTCTTGGTCACTTTTTTTTCTCTGAATTGTTTCTGATCGAATGGAGGTGATTGATGGCTTTTTAAAAAAAGATCAAGATAAAATAAAAAATCCAATATATTTATTCCACGAAACTTCGAGAATACTTGAAATAAAGTGATATAAATTTTGGAGAAATAATGTAGAATAATATCTTAGAGAGACAAATAAATTGAGACAATTATAATTCCTACAAATAAGATAAAATCTTAGGAAAGAAAATATATGAACGCTAGCTAATTTAATCGATGCATTTATAACATCTATTATTATTTGTTATTTCTTAGAAAAAAAAAAAAAATTTGAAAGATTTCATTCGACTTTCGCATTGAAAATCGTCCTCGCCATATTCTCCAACACACTGTGAAACACCCCTTCACACCCCATTCATCAATATTCCTAGAATCTGTTCGTTTCTTGCATCGAAGTTATCATATTTTCCTTCGAGGGGGAAGAATATCCGGGTTACTCGAAAATTGAATCACTTCCAAGAATCAGACGAATCCCCTCCCACTTTTTCTCTCTCCGTTTGATCGATACGGCTTTTGTAACCGAAGACTTACCGATCCATAAGCTCCTTATTACTTCCATATCGAGCGTTTCTCCAGGACGTAGTAAGTAGCTCGAAATTAGAAGGAGAGCCTTTGAACCGTGCAATTAGGGAACGACAGACGTTCATGTACCTTCCTCCACTCTTTTTCTCTATCTCATATTTTTCACGTTAAGTGGTTGTTCCGGGTCTCCTTTACCGAACTCTTTCTGCAAACTTAATATCGTCGACTTTCTTCGAACGGTAATACAAAAATTTCCTTCTTTTCTTTTCTTTTCTTTTTTTTTTTTTCTTTTTTGCAAATTCAATAACGATGCGCTCTTTTTCTTTAAATCTCGAATTATATTTTTACATTTTATGCACACTTCTAGTTTTGAGTTCTAATTTCACTCGAATCATTGATAAATATATTTTCAAGATAGAAAGTTTTTTCGTTCAATTTATTTGAACTACTGTTTGAATTCCTCGAAAGATCATCTTTGTGAAAAGTGTTCGTTTATGAAAGAATCTCCGTTGAGAAATATACCATGCAAGAAGAGAAATAGGGTCCAGATCGTAAAGGACGAAATAGAGAGGCGAGGGAAAAAGAAGAGAGGAAAGGAAGAAAAAGGGATGAGCGTTATCCTCAGGCGTGCAACTGATATGAATAATTAATGCGGCGTGTTCTCTAGGTATACGTTCTCTAGGGCGAGAAGAAACGTTCTTGTACCGTGAAGAAAAAGAAAAACGTAATACGGAGGCTAATTGTCCCATTTAAATTTCATAGGACGCGACCGCGTTGAGTATTTGCAATTAAAATTATTTTATTGCATAGGGAACGATACACGAGGATGCCTTCTCGAAAGTGAGCCCGTTGTCTCACCGATCTACGAGAAGATTAATTCGAATTCTCTTGTGTTTGAACATTCCTTTTGATTTTTGACACGATAAATGATTCATTCTAGAAACGAATAAAAATTCAAGGAATAATACTTTGAGATGCGTAGAAAAGGCGTGATGAAGTTCGAAACATGCGAGGTGGACGTAATGGCGGCATGGAACGATTGAAGAATAAAACGAATTGTAATTATTTTCTTTTGATTTTTAATAAATGATTCATTTCTGAAATGAATAGAAAAAATAATATTCCGAGTTACGTGAAAAAGATGTGGTTTGAAATATGCAATACGAATGAAATATGAATGGCACGATTGCAAAACAAAATGGTGGAGATTCTAATTATTTTTTATCATGATAATGATGAAAGATTTGATTAATTTAATAAAAAAAGAAGAATTGCAAACTAAATATTTTATTTTATTATATTTTATTATAATTGCATAACAGATTTTCTATTTCATTATTCATTGAATACAATGAGACATCCCATACGTTAATCGATTATTACTCTAGAGTTAACGGTATTATAACAGGAATTTCAAAGAGAAATCCTTGGTGGCGACTGCAAGGATGGTCACCACATCAAAGAGGAGCATCAATGGACTGAAAGGTATAGTTCGCGAGTCCACGTAAATGAGTATTCTAATTAACGAAGTGCATGAAATACATATCTTCCATTTAAATGAACACTAGTCTTAGTATTATACATTTTTAATATATTATATTGATTAACTCAAATTCCTTTAAATGACAATTATATGTTGTTGTGGAAAAAGAATTTCATTATTTCATGATACAGATTAAATTATTCAATATAATATATTTATAAAATAGCATAAGTAGAATAAAATATTTCTCAGAGCAATAAATCCTTTAAAGCAATTTAAATCCATTTAGAATGCTATGTTTCTACATTTCTGAAACTTCCTGTTAAACAATAATTCATTTTAACCTTATTAACATTAAGTCTGCAGAAAACGTAACTTTAACCAGCTAGAAGAGCTAATTTAATCATTTGTAACATCCTCCTCCCCATCGTAATTCCTCTTATTCTTTCTATTTCTAAAATCTCTCTCATTATAATTTTACAACATAATCCCAAATTTATTCCTAAATTAATAAAGAGCTGGAATTTGTTTTTTGAGAAATATTATATTTAAGGAATATTTTATATTATGATCAACAACATTTACACGGAATGTTATTATTCTAGAATTTTCATTAAATTTTAGATAAATAGTTTCACTTTAACATTCAAAGAAACTTCAACTAGTTTCAATTATTTCAACTAGAGCCAACACTTTTGCTATAATTATCCTAATTATAATTGAACTTGAACCGTCATAATGTTCACAGTTCTACAACTACATTTGAATTCTAACCATCACACATTACTTCACGAATCATTCGAGAATAAAATTGAGAATAATTTTGGAAAAAGCTAAAAGAAGATCAGATATAAAGGACAGAGAAAAAGAGGAAGAAAAAAGACAAGAAAAGAAAAGTAAGAGCAAGAAAATAGGGGAAGAAGAGATGAAAAAATTAAAGAGACAAAAAGAGAAGTGATAAAGTATTATAAAAAGACAGGAAAAATAAAGTAATAAAAAGATGAAAAAAAGAAAAAACGAGGCTTTTTGAAAAAAAAAAAACAAGAAACAAAATCGCAGCTCTGAAAAGAAAAAAATAAAAGAAAAGAAAAAATGTGAAGAAGAAACGAGACAAAAGACGAAATATTTCCAAAGAAACGAAATAACAGAAAGGGAAGAAAAGGCGAACAGTGAAAGGAACAAAGAGAACCAAAGACAAAAAAAAAAAAAAAAAGAAAAACAACAAAAAGAAATCAAGAAAAGAACTCACCTAGCTTTAACTCGGGCGTAGGCAGGCAACTCCGCTAACGAACGGCCATAAAAAAGCGGAACGTGGTGCGAGTTCGAAACACATCCTGGCACAGAATCCATCTTTTCCATTGTCAATCGATCCTTTAAATCCCCCATTGATTCGGTGTTAATTGACATTTTGCCCGCCAGATAAGCCTCCCTCGCCCCCTCCTTTGTTCTCCTAATCGTCCTACAGAACTACCATCATGTCAGCTTCACTTTTACCCACGCCTTCGTTTTATTATGCCAATTCCTCTCGCTAAGATACGTGTACATATACAGAGGATCGAATATTAAAACTCCTTCAAGTTAATTACATTTTCGGATTGACTCGTTAATTTTTAATTTTTTTCTTTTCTTTTTTTTCCTCTTCATCTCTTTTTCCCCTCCGATATTTTTCGATGGATTTTTCGAAGATTTTTGATGAACAGGTTTCGATGATACGATGGTACGATCCGTTTCTGGAAAATGATTTTCAATATGATGGACAGATTTGAATGATGTAGAGAGAGGGGATGGGGTTTAGCGTGATTATTGTACAGATTGTATTATGGCGAGTGGCGCGATCGTGATGCGGATTTTACGTGTAAAATCGAGGAATATAAAATAACGCTTTTCGATCGTTCGAAGCAAAGAATATTGTATGATTTCGAATTTATATTCAAAATATATTCAATATACGGTTGAATCGCAGTTAAATTTGGATAAAAGGGCTGGATATAGAATAACGATGATGCATAGATATTATTTTAATTTCTAGAAAAAAATTATCTATCTTCGAACGCTCGATTTTATCTACAATTTTGCGAGAGAGAAAAGAAGAGATAAGTTTTTTTTCGAAATTTCGGGTTGGAAAAGATGGACTATACTTGAACCACCTTATTGAGGAACAAATATCTTAACAACGGAGGCCGGAAATCGAGCGAAAATCTTATTCGATTCGCGAAACTTACTTCTGGGACGATGATTCGCGAGAGCATTCGTAATTCGAGCGTTTTCTTTGGCGAAGAACGATCCGGAAGTGGCGGTAGATGAACTCAATTTGCGGTATCAGCGGCAACGAATCGATTGTTCTACTTCTGCCGAATACTTCCGCCGCCGCTTTTTCGCGCTTTTTCACCGATCACCGAACGAAACGTTCGAAAGAACTTTCTTCGAGGGTTGCTCGCAAAGTAGCAAGTATAAAGTTGAAATATTCAATTAAATATCGAATAAAGAATTTTTTTTATAATTTTCATTTAAATTTATCTTAATTTTCTTTTTGGAATTTTTTTATCAACTATATCTTCGTTTCGCTTGAATGTTATCATTATAGACAGGAAAAACGTTTCCAATTAATTCGTGGTTTATGAAATTAACAATAAGTGGTTAATATTCATAATGAATGCTGCAACGAATGTGTAATATTAATGATATATTTCGTTCATTATATATCTGAATGAAACAAAATTTATCGTGCCTAAAAATTGGAAAATTTCGTAAAAAGACTTCTCTGATATCATATAGATATCAACATTTTTCAATTAGGAAAGAGAAATAGAATGAGAAAATATTTTGTGTGATAAAAATTTTTAATCGACCCAGAAAGTGTATATTAAAATGCGTATCCTGTGAGGAAAAAAGTGATCAGTCGGTATCATAAGCTCATTTCCGCATTGACGTGCCGAACAATGGGGGTTCGGATTTCACAGAGAGAATGGACACTCGAATTACCGGACGTCATACCGAGCCATCGTATAATAGGGGGTTCGTGTCTTGCGTGATATACCCTCGTGCTTTTCACCGATAAACGCGTGTCGATATTTCCCCCGCTTGATCTCGCGATTCGACTTATAAATTAATCTCGCTTATCCTAGTATAACTAAAATAATAAGCTCTATACTTTTACTAGCGAAATTTTAATTTACGATAAAAGTAGAAAGGATATCGAAGATTTTTATAATAAATATATCAAAATATATGGAATTGGTTGTAGCTTTTTAATTTATTTTTTGATTTTTAAATTATGTTTTAACGTTGAATTTGAAAAGAATAATTTTCGAAAATTCCACGTCAAATTTAATCTATGATGGTATACGTAATTCGTGTTCAACAATGGAATATAATTTCTCTACGTCTAACTCACTCGATTATCGCACTAATGTTACTTAATCGACCACTGTAGCCTGTTACTTACCACCACAGACTAATGAAACTTTCCACAATTCTCGATACTCGTCTAACAAGCGTACGATTAAATTTCCTTAAATAAACAATTCATATTTTGTAATCCGAAAATAAACGATACAAGATGGGCGAAAATGAAAATGAGAAATTTTCCATCATCGATCATCCATCCTTCGAAATTTGGTCTTTTTTTTTTTCCGCCCCCCTCGATGATGCGTTTAATCACGTAACATGAATCGTTTAAATTTATTTTCATTCATATGATTTAATTGCACGACGCGAGGGAGGCTGCCACGTTATCAATGTCCTCCAGCTTCGTTCATTTTGTATTCCTGACCGCGGCACTCGTGTATTTTTGCTAATTAATTTCCGTTTGTTCAAGAAACACTTTATTTTATTCATTGTATCTTCCATCTTTTGCATATATATTCGTCACCGCATATTAAAACAGACTTCATTATCTTAACCGTACAATTCTTCAATTTCCATTTTTTTCCATTCCCTTGTTCCACGATTGACAAAGAATTCTTGATTCTCTTTTTTTTTTTTCTTCTTTCCTTAATTCCTTAAATTACATGTCTATTCTCCGACGAATTTACGAATGAATGTGGATTTTTTTTCGAAAAAGTTTTTAATATCTCTTGAGAAGATTTAAGATGATTTAATGATTTTTATTTTCTTTTAATTAGGAGATTGAGCTGTGAATTTTTGTAATTATGAAATTGTGATAGGAATTCCTAATTTACATGATAAATGAAGTAATATAAATAGATATACATCTCTTCTTCCTATACAAAATTAACAAGAATTAATTATAATAACAATTTCGATATTACACGAGATTAAAAAATACAATTTTACGTTAATATTTCCTTCTTTCAGATTATTCACAGTGACACGATTTCCCTGGTTTCCATCTTCGTTTCCAAACTCGTTCCAATCGATCGTAAAATACTGTGAGAGATCAACTCGACGTGTAAGTTGGAGATGGAAATAAGACGAACTCGAGGACTCAACTCTCGAAGAACAATGTCCCCTCGGTGCCATCTTGAGAGTGCCAACTTCCACGAATTTTGCAAATACTCAGGTGTATCAAAACGCTGAGAATTTGTTTCCAGATTTCGATTCGAAGATACGATATAGAAAATGAAAAAATAAAATCCTCTTCCGTTCTCTTCTTCTTTGATTTATACGATGGCCAAGAAGAAAATATGGCGACAGTCAGTGTGATATATTGGAAGTCTTTTATCGAGATGATTGGAGATAAGGCTTGAAGATTGACAATCGAATTTCTTTTTAATAAAATTGAAATTATCCAAAAATCGATTATTTGATGTTTATTTAAGCGATCGATTAATCACAGAATATGATTTGAATTAATTTGACAATGTTTATATATTTTATATTGTTAAAACTTGTATCCTGGAATATTTAAATACAATTAATTTATTTTTCTAATGCATTTATATTTTATTTTTGATTACCCAACTTGAAATATTGCAAATAATTCTTAAAGTGGTTGTTCTCAAAAGTGGAATAAAAGTACACCAGGCTGAAAGAGTTCTCGTATACTAGAGAGACTAATTATTAACCAGATCAATACAGCTTTTAGCGAGCCTCGACTCGAAGAGGGTAATTTTTAGCAATTCTTGACTCACTTTCTCACATGATGTCGCACGGTTATTGTTCCGTTAGAACGAGTGCCTTTCCTAAAATCCTATTGATAAAATATCTTCATCAAATAAATACTTGTATGCAAATTAATACGTTAATGCCTTTTTTCTTTTTTTAATTTTTCAAGCACCAACAAGAACGCACCTGAACTCGATCGAAGTTTAAAAAAGACTAATAAAAAGAGTTTAAATTAAAATTAAAATTAGTTTTTCAAAATAAATTGGATGTATCTGCGTTATCCGTCCTAGGGTGTTATCGATCAATGGAAGCTGCTGCATTTTCCGCTTGGTGGCGTGTTTAAATTTAGCTTTTTAAGCATGCATGACGAGCACAGGGGCCGTGTTATCCCTATTTTCGATAGGCCAATTATTTCACGCGTGAACACGAGTGGTTTTTAATAATCCTCTTATATTAATATCACCGGTATAGCCTATAATTAGTGAAAAATTGTTGGACAAATGCTGCGACGAGAACGAGTAGAAATTGGGAAGGAATTTGTCGAGCATAGTGGAACGGTTATTTCTCATCAGATTTTCGATTATCGTAATTATCATTCTATTGCGCTATTTATTATCGTGCACCAATATCGTCGATTCAGACTCAATTTAGACGCATAGTTTCCATGCATTATCGTGCATTAATGTTGTCGGGTTTGATGGAGTACGAATTTTCATGAAAATTTGGTGAACGCGGAAATGACGTGAAGCAAGGTGATTAGATATCATTCGATCGAGATTTTAAGAACGTTTCGAATTCTTTAGAAATGGAGAGAAATTTATTCATCGATCATCTTTAATGTTTTCTATCCAACTCTTTATATTAATTAATTGCATTTAATTATATTAACGATCGGACATTGGATGAATGGTCGAATGGAATCGCTTTAATCCAAACAAAAATATATATTTACGATTCATTTTTTTCGCAAATTGAAATTCGTGAATTAATTAAATCCAGCGAATTGTTAATAACACGGATCGATTTCGAATGAATACAAATTTTTAATAGAATTGTAAAAATAATGTAACAAAGAGTACCGCAAAATTTCCAAGTAAATCATTTTCAATGTCCATAAAAAAGCACGTAATAAGATTATTATAAATTCCAAAAAAAACTTTCTAGAATTTTTCCTAAACAAAGGAACAAAGAGAGTGGAATTTCAATCGTATGCCAAGGAAATTAAAATTTCTAATCACGATCTTTCGACGATCATAATTATCCGTGCATTCAACCCCTTTGTTCTTACGCAGAACACCATTTAATTCGAGAGGAAGGAGGGCCAGGGTGGCATGCACGATGTTTACAACGAAAAAGGGGGACTGAATCGAGGTAATTAAAAGCGAAGTGGCGCGAGTCAATTAGTTGTGAAAAACGAGGTTGCTGTGACGAGAGAAAGAGAAAGAGAGAGAGAGAGGTCGACTTCTAACGTGTGCCTCTTTATTAAAAGTCTTTGTTATGCCGAAGCGTAAGCCAACTTGTATTTCAAAATCAGGAAAAATTTATCCACGGTGTTTAATATTTTAACAAGCGATGAAACGATTTAAAATCCGAACGACTTGAAATTAGAAGGATAAAATCATTTAGAGGTTGAATTGTTACGATTGACACTTCGTAAAAATTTCTTTATATTATAAAGATATACATGATAATAAAATATATATCGAGAAATAAGAATTTCGAACTGCACTTCCACCATACAAATAAATAAATAAAAAAAACAATATGCCAAATATGCCAACGAAAATTAACATCTTTTTCCAACATCTATCACAAGAAATAAAATGACAATACGAAACAATCTCTTCCCAATTCGCAACGACGTATCAAATCATACCGTAACCACAAACCATTCAATCATAAAAAAAAAAAAAAAAAAAAAAAAAAAA